AGCTGGCAGGGGTCTACTAATCCTAACAGCATTAGACCAGCATTAGACGTTGTTTACTACCGTCAACAGTCTTGGTATTTATTTATATTTTAATTGCGAAGTAATTCTCATTAATAAATTTAAAAAATGGTGCAGTGTAATATTTGCAACAACTCTATCGCACGCGAAGATAAGAACAATATACACTGCGTTAAGTGTAAAATAATTTTTCATGGTAGGTGCGTCAATCTTACTGATAAAGACACCGAAGCATTAAAAATAATTAAAAAAACATGGGTTTGCTCTAACTGCGAACAGGTGAAAAAACAAAATACCGAGCCGTCCCCCTCAGAAATACTTGCGGCAGTAAATCGTTTAGACGCTACCGTGAACGAAGATATAAAAAACATGAAAACAGCACTAGATAAATACGGAGAGCTCAGTTTTGAACTAAACGAAAGACTGACGAAGATTGAAAAACATCTGGAAGGTCAAGCTAAAAAATTTGAGGAGATACTATTAGAAAATAAAGCACTGAAATCCCGAGTGGGCTAATTAGAGGTTCGCTTGAATAACGCAGAGCAAGGACTATTAAGTAGATCACTGGAGATCCGCGGTATACCGGAGCGACCGGGCGAAACGCCCGCTGCTTTGGTGACCAGTATAGGAGCAAGCTTGGGGATCAGGCTTAGTGTGGAGGACCTGGACAACGTACATCGCCGCAGAAGCCGAAAAGATGACTCGCGACCACCGCCTGTTATCGCACGTTTTGTCAGGCAATCAATTAGAGATTATTTAATTACGAAAAGGAAAGTGAAGAGGGATTTCTCCACGCGGGATATCGGTTGGCAGGAAAATGACTGCCACCGAATTTATCTGGGTGAAGAGATGACTCGCACAAACAGACACCTCTAGGCTAGCCCGGCAGAAGAGAGCGGCGGGAAAATCAAATATACGTGGTTTGCTTCCGGAAAGGTGAGGTGTTGAAAAGAGGACGGACATAGAGTCATCCTGATAGAACAGGTCTCGGATCTAGATGTATTTGACTGACTACCTAGAAGCCGTCAACCCCTTAGCCTCATTAAAATAGTCTTACTTCTTCTCTTCAGTATCTGCGCATGCGTTAACCCTACACATACACTCTTTATTTCGTCTCTTATAAAGTGACTTTATTATCAGTGAAATAATTCATGTTATTTGTGAAAAAGTTGTGTGAACTGTTAAGTTAACAATTAATTTGAAACTGGACATAAACAAGGTGAGTAATCACTTATTTATAACGGCATTGTGAACAATGTAAATAGACCTGAGGATAGTGATAGATAACAAGCCGGCCATATACATTCGCTAATCCGACCAGTGGGCTGCTGCCCTTCGGCGGAAGCACATCTACGTTTCTCAGAATTCCACAAATTCGCGTAATATATACGTAATTGATAAAAGACTTTTTTTACAAACTATTACATTTACCTCTAATTAATTAACATGAGATGCGATATTTTCACATGGTAATGTCGAGCAAAGGTAGCAATCGAACTTTAAGATCTAGGAGTCTAGATACCACAAAGAGTTCACCTATCAAGAAAAGGGCTAGACGCTCTAAAAAAAATACCCCACCAGCTACACCAGAGAGCTCAGTTGACGAAGTCGAAAATCAACCTGGCACATCATCACAAAATATGTCAACACAAGCTATATCAATACAAGATACGTTAGAAGAATCGCCCTTTTTTACAGCTAATCCATTCCAAGTGTTGTCAAACACACAGAATGAACAAATGGAAGCAGTACCCATCCCTAGTGAACCTAAACCCCCACCAATATTCGTTAGAAACATTAAAAATTTTCAATTAATGTGTCTACAATTAAATAATATAGTGGGCTCAGGTAAATACTTATGCCAAAGCCGCATTAATGACACGAAATTAATGCCTGACACCCCAGATACGTACAGAAAAATTGTCAAGTATTTATCTGACACTAAGGCGGATTATCACACTTATCAGCTGCGCCAAGAGAGAGCGCTCAGGGTGGTGATCAGGAGATTACACCCATCAACACCACTGGATGCCATTAAAGAAGAACTAACTGAGATGGGGTTCCGTGTTCGCCAAATAGTGAATATATTCAAGGAAGATAGAGAACAGCCTGGCTCAAAAAATAAAATACCGCTCCCACTATTCTTCGTTGACCTTGACCGAACGCCCCAGGTCGAAGACATCTACAAGGTCACACGCCTTTACTACACTAGCGTTGTTGTAGAAAAGCCCTACACTAAGCGCGACATTGTACAATGCCATAACTGTCAGGCTTATGGTCATACGAAACGCTATTGTCACCACATTCCTAGATGTGTCCGGTGCGGTGATAAACATAAAACAGAGGACTGCCAGAAGTCCAGAAGAACACCAGCTGTATGCGCTTTATGCCATCAAGGGCACCCAGCGAACTACAAGGGTTGCCAAACATGTAAGGAACTAAAAGCAAGAATTTATTCAGCTCCAAGAGAAGAACGGCCATCCAGGCCACCAAGACAACCCTCTAGAACTGTAAATACAAGAGTGTCCTATGCTCAGATATTCAAAGGAGATACTGCACCCACACAAACTCAGGCCCTGCCACAAGAACCTCAACCTCGAGTATTCACATCTCAACCTCAAGACCCTTATCCCATCTCTGAACCTAGGCCTAATAACCAGGCATTCATTCCTCCTCCTCCCAATGCCACTGACCTCACAAGCCTATTGACTTCTTTTCCCTCTGAATTCAGATCACTCATCACTCCTCTCATTTCCTTACTTACCAATGTTGTATCCAACCTCATCCCACTGCCGAGAAATCCTTAAATGTCCCCAATCAAATCCCTCTCCGTCCTCCTTTGGAATGCGAATGGTATTCGAAATCACATCAACGAGCTAACAATCTTATTACAGGACAAAAACATTGATGTAGCATTAATAACTGAAACTCGACTTACCAACAAACGACCACTTAACATCCCCAACTATCATATCTATCGAACCGACCATCCTGATGGAACAGCACATGCTGGCACTGCCATAATTATCCATCAATCCCTTTCCCATCACCTATTCCCTTTGCCGAACCATAATTTCCTACAATCCACTGCCGTGATAATCCAAACTTCTCCTTACCCAATAGCAGTAGTTGCAGCATACTCCCCGCCTAAAATACCTATCTCAGAATCCCAATTAACTTCCTTCCTTAACTCCTTAGGACACCACTTCCTTCTAGGTGCAGACTTAAATGCTAAACACCAGCAATGGGGAGCCAGAACCACAAATTCCAGAGGACGAACATTGCTATCTGCACTTAATTCCCATCACAGCAACATCCTCTCACCCAATTCTCCCACATACTGGCCAACAGATCCTAACCGCAATCCCGATCTCCTAGATTTTTTCATCCACAAAGGTCTAGGGTCCCTTAATTATAGCATTTCAAGACTTGATGATCTTTCCTCAGACCATAGTCCCCTAATCCTAACGGTCTCCACATCACCAATTCCCAAACCACCTCCACCTTCATTTATCAGGGGGCCAGTTAATTGGAACCTCTTCCGTCAAATACTGGATGATAATATTGACCTCAGAGTTTCCTTAAAAACACCTGCAGACCTAGATAAAGCAGTATATTCCATGACTACCTTGATCCAACAAGCAGTTTGGACTGCATCTTCACCTGATCCTTCTAAAAAATACCGCAAAATAAGTCCTCTACCCCAAGACCTACTGGACCTTATTAATAGGAAACGATGCTCTAGGACCATCTGGCAAAGAACCAGGCATCCTGATGATCGGAAATCATATAACTATTATTCCAAGCAGGTAAAACAAAAACTGGCTACGTTTAGATCCCAATCCTATAATTCCTATCTTTCCTCACTATCTGCAAGTGATAACTCCCTCTGGAATGTAACAAAAAAAATCCTTAAATTCCAATCCATTTCCCACCCCCTCCGCCGTGATGATGGTTCCTGGGCTTCGTCAGATGAGAATAGAGCAGAAGAGTTTGCTAAACATCTATCGTACACATTCACTCCTCATCCTGAACTCCATCCCTCCCATACTGCTGAAGTTAAAGAATTCCTCTCTTCATCGATTCCCCTCTCCTTACCTCCTACAGCCGTCAACCCCTCTGAGGTCAAATTCCTTTTAAAGAACCTAAAACCTCGCAAATCTCCAGGACACGATCTCCTTACTTCCCAGATCCTCAGACAACTTCCCAAAAAAGCAATTATATTCCTTACATATCTATTCAACTGTATCCTCCGCACAACCCACTTTCCCCTGGTGTGGAAACACTCCATAATTATCCTCTTCCCTAAACCAAGTAAACCTGTTAATTATACATCATCCTATAGACCGATAAGCTTACTTCCGATCCTTTCCAAAATCTTTGAGAAAATCCTTCTCAAACGCATCCTACCCATACTCGAATCCCACAATATCCCTTCCCATCAGTTTGGATTCCGCTCAAGACACTCCACTGTCCAACAAGGCCTTCGCGTTGTGGACCACATATCCTCTGCACTTGAAAACAAGCAATATTGCACTGGCGCCTTTCTGGACGTAGCTCAAGCTTTCGACCGGGTGTGGCACGATGGCTTGCTTTTCAAGCTCAAAACCCATTTACCTCAACCCTTGTACCTAGTCCTCAAATCTTACCTTTCAAATCGCTCCTTTCAAGTCCGCTGCGGCACTGAACTCTTTTTTTTTTTTTTTTTTTTTTTCTTTTTTTTTCTTTTCTTCCCTACCTCGCCTTTTAGGCTATACGGGATTTTCCCGGGCCGAGGGGTGAGGGCGGGGAATTTAATATCTTTTTATATCATCTCAAATCTCTGTTATCCGGTTGCCAGGCAACTAGCGGTGCTGTTACACACGCTTTAGCCTATTCGGCCACCCCGCCCCCCCCCCTTTTTTTTTTTTTTTTTTTTTTTTTTTTTTTTTTTTTTTTTTTTTTTTTTTTTAAAAAGAAAAAAACATAGTTTATTAAAAAAACTATTCCCTCATCATCTTTTCCTTTTGCCTGGCCAACTTCTTTTTGAATACTTTCTTCTTCATGGGCTCCTCATCAGTAGCCTTGGCGACAACCTGTTCCTTTTCAGTCAAGACAACTTCAATGTGGCAGGGTGAACTCATGTAAGGGTTAATTCTACCATGAGCTCTGTAAGTTCTCCTTCTCAAACGTGGAGCTCTATTTACTTGGATATGCTCAATTACAAGCCTGTCGACATCAAGATTTTTGTAATCAGCATTGGATTCAGCGTTCTTCAAAAGCTGGAGCAGAAATTCTGCAGATTTTTTTGGCCAACGACCTTGGGTAACACCCCATTGTTTAGCCTGGGCACACCTACCAACACCACCATTGAAGCGACGGAAAGGTACACATTCTTTCTTTTCCATTACATTTTTCAAATATCTAATAGCTCTTCTCAAAGGCATAGTTCTGATGGCCTTAGCTGCTTCTCTAGTGTTCTTGAAGTGAACACGGAGATTGGAGCCTCTAGCTTTACAGGACTTTGTAGCATTGTCAGGTTCATGAGAATACCGCGCCATTTCTTAAGTTCGACGAAATGAACCTCACATGGACACTAGGGACTCCAATGCGGCACTGAACTCTCCAAACATTATCCAATTGAGGCTGGTGTTCCACAAGGCAGTGTCTTGGGCCCAGTTCTCTATATCCTTTTCACCGCTGACATCCCTTCAAGTCCTGATACCTTCCTAGCAACATTTGCTGATGATACTGCCATCCTATCCTCCCACTCGGATCCTCTAATAGCGTCCCAGAACCTGCAAAGACACCTTTCCTTCATTGAGCAGTGGTGCAACAACTGGCGCATCAAAATTAATGAATCAAAATGCAAGTATGTAACTTTCACTCTTCGACGCAGATCCTGTCCGCCAATCCTTTTTAATTCAATTCCTCTTCCCTACTCAGACACAGTCCGATACCTTGGCTTCCTTCTGGACAAAAGACTGACTTGGAACCCACATACGAGACTTAAAAGACAAGAGCTTAACCGACGATTTGGTCAGCTATATAGACTACTAAACAGAAGATCTCATCTCTCAACAGAAAACAAATTATTAATCTACAAGACCATACTGAAACCTATCTGGACCTACGGACTTGAACTGTGGGGGACAACTAAATCATCGAATATCAACCGCATCCACTCCTTCCAGTCCAAAGTCCTTCGAACAATAGTCAATGCTCCATATTATGTCACGAACAAGACCCTACACCATGACCTTAACATCCCATATGTCCATGACATCATCCCATCCAGATTCTCCAACTTTCACCAGAACCTCATTCATCATCCCAATCCTCTAGCGCAATCCCTATCCAGCTCCGAGCATCCATACCATCCCCCTCGAAGGTTGAAACGGCAGTGGCCTCGAGATCTTTTGTAAATATGCCTTTGGAGTCCTGGCAATGGCCAACAATCCAACCAACTCGATCCTCTCCAATCTGGCTTCCGTCCTGGCTACTCTACACAATCTGCTCTGATTAAAATTACTAGTGATATCCAGACTGCAATAGATGACAAAAAACTAACCATACTTATACTTCTTGATTTCTCTAAGGCTTTCGATTCCATTATCCATTCCATCCTTTTCAACAAACTAAAATCATTATCCTTCTCCAATAGTTCCATCTCTTGGTTCCAGTCTTTCCTCTCACAACGAACCCAAGCAGTTTCCATACCTAATCAACCTCTATCTGCCTACCTTCCTTTATCCTCAGGAGTTGCACAGGGTTCAAGCACGTCTCCTCTTCTTTTCAGTTCTTATATTAATGACCTAAATGATACAATTATCCATTGTTCCCACCACCTTTATGCCGACGATTCTCAAATCTATTTATCCTTTTCTCCCGCTGAGTTATTGGTGGCATTTGCCAAAATTCAAGAAGATTTAGATCGAATTAGTGCCTGGGCCAACTTAAATGGATTAAGGCTAAATGCTGCCAAAACTCAGGCCATTCTCATTGGTTCCAAGCCCCTTCTTAGATCCCACACCAACTTTCTCTCACTCTATCTAAACAACCACCCCATCACCTTCTATCCCTTTGTTAAAAATTTAGGCTTTCTCATAGATCAAACCCTTTCCTGGAATCACTATATCTCTCATATATCCCGCCATGCAATTTCTACCCTCAAACTATTCCATCACTTCCGCCATCTTCTACCCCAAAATACCCGTAGACTCCTAGTTTCCTCTCTCATCTTTCCCCACTTTGACTACAGCTGTGTGGTGTACGATGGCCTCTCGGTGGAACTGCGTGATAGACTCAAAAGACTTATGAATTGCTTCGTAAGATTTGTAATTGGAACCCCGAGACGCTCCCGTGTCTCCCACCACTACACTGAGTTAGGGTGGCTCTTCCCCTCCTTAAGAAGACAATATTTCCTTGGCACTTTCCTTTATCAAATCATTACCGATCATCGTCCTTCTTATGCCTACAACCTTCTCCAATTTAAGTCCTCAATCCATTCACTCACTACAAGATCCCGACCCTCTGACCTATACATCCCTTCTCATAGATCTGCCTCATTCCAAAATTCCTTTATAGCCCGCTCTGTCAACTTTTGGAATTCCCTCCCGATCAAAATTCGACATGCCCCTTCCCTGTACACATTCAAAAACCTCCTATTCCAATTCCTGTTCCAAAAACAGTCAGATACCAGCTAACTATTAATATTATGTATGTATTGTGTAGCAATCATATAATCATAACACTTGGTAAGAGATAGTACATGCATTTCCTACTATCGACGTAGGAATTTCAATACATACATTTTTTTGTATATTTTTTTTATTCAATTATAAGTAACTGTTTATTTTTATATATATATTCAAGTAAAGTTTTTTTTTTTTTTTTTTATGAAATGAACTCATTGTATCTCTTTTTCGTTATTCATTTCTCAAAGTGTATGTTTATGTTGTTCAACCCTTAAATATAATTTTATTCATAGTTCAAGTGATTCGTTCATAGTTTTAATTGTTTTGTTCATAATTTTAAATGCTCTGTACATAGTTTTATCTGTATTGTATATAGCTTGTGCACCTAAGGTTTTCTTTACTTTTTATTTTATTTTATTAATTTTATTTATTGCTTCAACGTTCAGGCCAGTAATATTCTATTATTTTGTACATTATTGTTATTCTGAAGGGACTTAGTCCCAGAATAAAGTGTTTTTTTTCTATCTATCTATATTTATAAACCTAAATATTAAAATGAAAATTTATGAGACCCACATACCAGACTGAAGCGACTGGAAACCGCCCGACGTTTCCGACTGCTTCAGCACTTACTAGACAAACGCTCTAAACTTCCAACTATTTACAAAATACTCATATATATTACTGTAATAAGGCCTATTTGGACTTACGGGATCGAACTTTGGGGCTATACTAAACCATCAAATTATTCTCGTATCGAATACCTTCAATCCAAAATCCTTCGTAAAATCCTTAATGCTTCCTACTTTGTCACAAATAAAATCATCCATAATGACCTCAATGTACCATATGTTTCCGGTTTAGCTCAATCCAGATACCTATCCTCCCATAATAAACTTCTGAACCATCCGAACCCTCTTGTTTCCAACCTTGCTTCCTCTTCTAATCCTGATAACCCTCCGAGGCGTCTGAAAAGAAGATGGCCTCGGGACCTTCTAATATAGAAGTATAATTGGAGTGCTACCAATGGGTAGTTTCTCCTCATGATGTACATGTCAAGTTACTTATTTCATATTAACTAGTTGTATTTATCATTATACAGTTGTAAATTTCAATAATAAAAATATAAAAAAATTATGAGCTAACTTCTTAAGAACTATTTACAAAATTATATACAGATATAAAATAAAATATAAAATAATTACTTTCCGATAAAAAATAAAATAAAAGGGTCTCTAGAAAAAAGAGCAAATAATTTTTTTTTTAAATCTTAATATGTCTTGGATTCGAACTATAAACAAATCAATGAATGTAAGTGTACACAGCCTTGACCGTGAACTTATCGCAGATAAGGTAAAAACCCGAAAGGGAATTACTGACCACTCGGGCTAAACAAACGAGCACTAATTTATAACTGCTTCATTGTTAATAAATAGAAACTCACCTGAACATATGTGAATATAAAAATGTAACACTGTTTATATAGTCACTGTTGATAAAGATTAACAGAAGAATATTAAATAATAATGACATTGCATGGTAACAAAGACAGAGCGACCTGAAAATTGAACTGCACTTGCGCCCATTCAAACAGATTTAAAGCAGAGAGATGGACTCTAGCCGATATTGTTAAACTTAGTTCAGATGAATCAGTCTCCACTGGACTGGTAATGCCGGCGACGCGGTTGAGAGAGAAGCGCTGGGATCTCTTAGAGTCTCGCTTTGTCCTTCACACGTGGGGGAAAGGGCTGGACTCGGAGATCTCTTGCCTAATTGTAAATATTGTATTTAAGTATGAATGTTTTTCTATTTATTTCTATTACTTATAATTTATTTAATTTTGCTACGAATTTCTGTATTTCATTTAATTTTAACTCTAAGTTACATTTCCTTGGTTTATTATAGTTTTTGCCTTTGTTATACAGATTTTTATATTTTTTTATCTTTTATTTTTTATTTTTTTTATTATTATTTTTTTTTTTATGATATTGTATATATGGTATGAATGTGCCTCACTCAGCTTAGTACTCAGTGCCCTTAAGTGTGGCAAAATGTATTATTTCTCAATAAACAGATATAAAAAAAAAAAAGAAAAAGAAAAAAGTTCAGATGAAGGAGATGACCGTCCTCGGTTAAACGTTAATAGCTATTTTGAGGACTTGTTTGAATGTCTATCATTTTCCATCTCGAACATGACAAGTTCAACTCGCTAAGACTATGTTAAGATAAGTAGAAAAAATAAACCTCTAAGTAAATGAATAAAAAACAAAATATATTAACAGCAAGCTATGAAATCTCATAACAATCTCTAGTTAATAACAATGTTGGTTATTAAGGGACAATGCAATCTTTGGTTATCAATGTACAGATGTGCAATAGTTCCCGTTAATACACATATTAAAATAACTCGGCTCAACAATAACCTTAATAAATAACCCAAAGACATAAATGAACCATTCAATAAAAATCTCAAAGAATTGTTGACTGTTGCACTTTTAGGGATACTATAATCCCGAAATATCGACAGAAATCTCAAATAAAATGTTTACAATGCTATGATAAAACCAGTTCTGACATACAGTTGTGAGTAGCAGATCCTGGATTTAATTTTGGAAGGGGCTTGCTTGTACACAATATAAAATAATATTTAAATGGTCCTTGAAGTCATGTAAAAAAAAAAATCCGTGTTTATAACCTGCTTGTGTGTGTTAGGAACAATAATGCTTTTAGAGATAATGTTTTTATAACTAACTCGCAGAAAAAAATTTGGACCGACCAAAAACACACCTTGGATACATGAGTGCCATACAAAGAAGTGTTGAAATGATTTGGGAGAAAAATCTAACACACGATAACAGAAATGATCTGAGATCAGAGTATAACGTGGAGATAGGTTGATAAATAACTGTTTAGTGTACATTTCATGATGTGAAGGCAAGGAGATTAAGATAGATGGATTGATAGAAGGCATCTTTGTTGATCCTATCGATGGTTTGTACAATATGAAGAGAAAAAATATATATAACATTAATTTTGTTATAAAAAACAAAATAATTCGTCTTTAATAAAAATTCTCAAGAGTGAGTGATAAGCGAAATCTGACTAAAGTCAAGGTAACCTCTTTGTTGTTGTTATTAATAAATAAAAACTCATATTTACATTTCGACTAGGATCGGAAAACTATTTTTCTATCAAAGGAGTTAGGCCATTTGGGTGACCAGTTAAACGTCACTTAAGGAGATAAAAATTTGTGAGCTTTTTCTGGTGAAATCATGGTGAAAGCTCGTTCAAAGCGTGGCAAAAAGTCGCTTTTTTCTGCCTGACCCAGTTCTTGGTTTCCTTAATGTGGCAAAACAATAACAGGAATTCACGCTGCCCAAACCTGAAACAGAGGGCAGTTAACTTCTAATCTCACTCTATACTTCAATTCCCCCCCCCCCATATTTTTACATCATTTCTTTGTATTTCAATAAACATTAAATTAATTTTCGTATCACGTTGAAGTCATTTTTAATTTTACTTACCTATATATGAAATAGTAAGGGTAAGTATTACAATCCTGAAAATTTTCGAATCTGATTTTTCAACTTAAATACATGTTTTGAGGTCTCCTGAGATCAAATAACCCAGTCCCGCAAAATGGTCTGTGTGTGTGTGTGTATGAGGTAAATCTAGCTCAAAAATGAAAAGTCGTACAAAATTGATATTGCGTATTCAAGATAGTATGTGCCGTAGATGTCACAGCAACTTTTTCCTTAAAATTGGCTAACAGGAAGTGCCACTTTATATCAACGGTGAAACACATTTTTACAATTTTCTCAAAAACGGCTCCAACGATTTTAATTAAACTCGGTGTATCATTGTATAATTAAGTGGTCTTTGATATCATTTAGGTCTTATTCCCATTGATGTCACTTTACAGGGCTTAAATGCCCAAACTTCTTATGCGTCTTCCTCTAAAGTACCTTTAATATGGTTTATTTAAAAAAAAAATAACTCTCTTTTATTGGCATTAACTGTAAAAAAATGGCTAAATATGAAGTTAAGAATATGATAATTGGAAACTTGAGAAAAAAATAAAAATGCTTATCCGGGTTGAAAATGAATCTCAGGAAATAACAGTCAGTCGGAATACGTATAATATGTCGTTAGAAAGCGGATAATTTTATAAAAAAAATATCAAATAAATAAAGTTCTTGAAGGTACGGAGACTATACAACTGAGAATGTGAGATGGAAAGGGCGAATTGAAAGGACTACAGAAGTTGATTGAATGGCAGTTCTAGTGGAAGGAATAAAGGAATGCAGTAAAGATTTATGTATAAGGGTACAAGAACCGGCGTGAGTGGTCAAATTTATAATTAAAGTAGTGATGTATGTAAAAATGTGTCCGTGTAGTAAAGTGAGTTTAAGTCAGTAGAGCAATATTAATGTGATTATTATGAAGAAATATGTCAAGTTCGTCATGGTGGTTATTCAGTTCGTTTGCATTCCATAAAAGAGTAATTAGAGGTTTTGTATTCATCGAGGGAGTTTAAAAGAGATTTCAGAAAAGAGTCTTGTGAGAAGGGTTATGAATGGTGTGTGTGATATTCTGTTGAAGATTCATCAGGAATGATGATATGATAGAGTTGATGTCGAGTGATGTCAGGATTCTGGTGAGAAGAGTGATAAGAGGTTTTAGAGGATTTTGGAGGTCTACTAGAAAGGATGATAGAATGAAATTGATTGTGAAGTGAATTTAGGATAGGTTCTTGTGGTGGGTTAGTGAGTGTTGGCTGAGGGGGGGATCCGTCGTTGTGAACGAGGTGGATCTGGATTGAAAGATAATTGTGCTGGAGTTTGTTTCTGGACATTAGGATGAAATGGGTAAGGATGCTAAGGCAGTAATTTGACTCGTAAGGGTATATAATGTATGTGGGTATATAATCGGTATCTTCTTAAATATATGTTTACGTCGATTCCTTGATGACTGGTTGACACATTTATTAGCATTATAAATAATATTCCACAGGGAGATCTACTAATCTTGATGAAATAAGTTCGTGAAGCCGGTATATTGGTCTTCGGAATATTGGTATTTGCTCCAATTAGGGGAGGGGAAGGGGAGGAAAAATAAATTAAATAAAAATTGGTCCAACACTACCAATCCAATTTCATTAAAATATGGTAGTAAGGCCAATATATCGGTCTTTAGGATATCCGTATCTGCTGAAAACCTGAGGAGAGGATGAGCAAAAAAAAACAACAATAGTCAGTCAAACTCTACCAATCTAAATAAAATAAGGTCCTAAGGCCAATATATATATGTCTTTGATCAAATTTATGTTTATGTAGATCCCTTGACGAATGATTGACACATTTATGAGCAATAAAAATAATATTAAATGTGAAAGAGGCCGATATATCATTTAAAACGGATGGACAGAAAATTGTGCAGTGGTGCATACAAAAAATATTAAATAGATAAAAAAGAAGAAATCAAACTCTACTGATCTTGATAAAATAAGGTCGTGAGGCCGATATATCGGTGTTAGCGCCAATTAGGGGAAGTGTATGGACAGATAAAGTAAATTAAATAAAAATTGGTCCAACACTACCAATCCAATTTCATCAAAATATGGTCGTAAAGCCGACATATAAGTCTTTAGGATATCTGTATCTGCTGAAAATCTGAGGAGCGAATGAGAAAAAAAAATAAACAATAGTCAATCAAACTCCACTAATCTTAATAAATTAAGGTCATAACGCCGATTTTTCGGTCTTAAATATATCCGTATCTGCTGAAAATCTGAGATGAGCCCCTCCCTCCTCCCTCCTCTAAAAAAAGAGGCCGATATATCGGCTAATCAGCTTTTAATATTGGCCGATGCCGAGAATAATGTCGGTATCGGTCGATCTCTAGTCCTATGACATCACCTATGAAAGTTATCCTTCAATGAATTTGCTGATAGCGAGAGAACTCTTACCTCAGCTAGTATGCATGAACAACTACCGGTACTACGAAGCATCCATCAACTACACAACTTCCGTGTACTTCTGGAAGGAATTTGTAGGGCTTAATCATTTTACTCTCCTTCAATGAAAAAGAATAAGGAAGAATGAACAATTAAGTGGCATGAGATCGCCGGCGGATCTACGGACAAAATGGTAAAATATATCCACGTCTTATAATTCGAGTATAAATAACTAAAATATTATCTTATAAGTATTATTGTTCGCGTAATTATATTTAGTAGGACCTCAAGAATAACTTAAACACCATTTTATATAGGTAGTTTCTTTTTCTTCCTAAGTAATTATGGTTATATATCTTTCGGGCTGAAGCCCATCCTCAAAAATTAAATCTTGAATCCGCTACTTTTGGAAATGTTTCTACCAAAAATATTTATAGTGCCGAGACGGAGGGAAAAATGACAATGAATCAAATTCCTCTACTCCGGAACTTTTAAAGAATTTTCTAATTGTTCGTATTAATTAATTGCAATGTTTAGTTGGTTTAAATAAAGAACACAACGAAGATGACAATTTTGTTATATTTCAACCATTTACATTCATTTTATATTCTAATTAAATAAATTTTAGCCAATGTATAGTCAGTATTTTAAGTTATTATTTATAACTAATAATTAATTAAAATCAATTCAGTTTTTACAGGTTAAAATTCAGAAATATTGTGTAGAAACATATTTTGTATCTACTTTCAAAGTTGAGTTTTTGTCAATGTATTTAAAAAGTCCTAGTCAGTATATATACAATTATACTCAGTACATAGTTGTAAGATTCATGTAAAGTAGATGCCAACGCTGTTCATCAAAATAACGCAGACAATTAACTAAGAACTTGTAAGTGGAGAATGTCCTAATTTTATGGAAGGGAAGCTCATCAAGTTACATCTGTTTTTTTTTTTTTAATGTTTTTATTGAGTATTAACACAGTCTGCCACACTGAAGGGCATTGGTACTAGGGCTATAGTATTCATTCACACAATATGTACATAAGAAACGAAAATAAATATAAATAACCAATATAGAAAAAAAATTATATATATATATATATATATATAAATAAAAAAATAAAGTAATATACAAGATGAAGAAAATAACATATTAAAGCCGAATGATGATAAAATAATTAAAACACACTCACACCAATGTAGGAAACTTACAATTAGTGATTTAATTTTTAAAATGTAACATTATGAGATATAGAAATAGACCAATGCTCATTGCCAAAATATAAAATATTAAAATCTATACATTAATTATGAATCTATCTATTTATGGATTTAATGTAAAATGCTGCCTTTGTTCGGTGTTTGTTTATTTAATTTACTTTCTCTTAAAACATCTCTTGAATTATATTGTTTTGTTTATTATTTTTATTTGGAACTATCGGAAATACTTTGTGTGAATAAGTTTTATTTATAACTATTCTATCAGGTTTATATATAGACATAATACGCATATATTTACGTCTTGTCATGTTTTTTTTTAATGGAAAGAAGATATTATACGTCACATACCTGGCCACTGGATTGTGTGGAATCCATTTTAAGAGCGAAAAATGCGAAGCTAATAATAAAATGTACCAGTAATCCTGCCACAGCTTGGAAATAATGAACTTGTTACTAAGCTGAAGAGGGTATTGAGAAGAGTTATAGAGGGAAGAGGGATTGAGTTATTGAATTGTAATGAACGGTGGAAAATATAATTATTTTATTTTTGCCATTGCAATTTTGTTAATGAAGATGATTTTTTTTTTAATGAAATCAGATCGTTGATTTAAAAGTTAACTAGTTGATCTACCTTTTTTACTTTCGAAGCAGTACAATTTTATTATCATCCAAGAAGGAAAACGGATTAAGAAATAAATATTACAGCAATTACACTTAATGGTTAGCTGCAACAGTGCGAATCGCACTGAATTCAATTTTCAACTCAATTTCAATCGCCTTAACAAAAATGCCAAGGTGAGCCCCATTTAGCGGGATGCGTTCCTCCAAAATTGCAGATCTATCAAGGGAGATACAGAGAGGGGAGCAGGTGTACATGGGAAGCGATGGTCAGAACCGGACTAGAAGCGTGTGTTTAGATTCCCATGGAGGGAGCAAAGTGGATATGAAAGTAGCTAAAAATAAAAGAGATGATTAAAAGGTAACTAAGGATAAGTTAAGAGGCTGAGAAATGGCTATTGTCGAGCGGGAGCGGGGAGCCAGGGCCACATTGATCAAGAATATTAATCAACTCTTGCTCTCTCTCGGACCTTTCTACTTTTATTGCCTTTTATATCGGCTAGCCAAAGGTCACATAGCACTCCTCCTCTTCCCACAGCCTTTACACTTTGTCAACTCCTCTTCCACCTCCCTTCACTGCTACGTCGCGCAGTGGGACCCACCGATCAATTCTCTTGCGCATTGCTGTTTCTATATTCAGGGAATTTCCATCACATCGAAAGAAAAAATGCTTTTGTTTAAAATATATTCTTGTTTTTTTTTAAATATTTTTTATGGCAATAATAATAATACAATCTGCCTCAATCAACGGCATTTGGTTAGTATTAAGGCTCTATGTGTACATTCATACTAATTCGTATTCTCATTTTTAAAAAAATAACTATAAGAATGTATACCTAGTAAAAGACAAATACATAATATATTCAGGGTGAGAAAGAAGGAAAGGGCCAAACTCAACTGAAAAAAAATAATAAAAAACATTTCTACTCAAATTTAAGAATATGCCTTAAGGTCAGTTTAATAATAATCAGAACTAGTCTTTGATAGTTTTATAATTTTGATTTTTATTAAACTGACCTTTTTACGGTCTTTAATTTAGAAAAAAATTTTCCGCAACAAAGTTACCGGATGCTCAGTAGAGACGGAAGGGCTGTCAAATTTTCAGTTATTGGTTCTTACCTTCCTTTCAGGTTTTGTTCCATGACATCTGCTGCAAGAATCAACTCTACTCCTTGATTGTCTCTCCCACCATCGCCATCGCTCCATGTTTTATTATTTTTTTCTAATATCTCTAGGCATTTATCATTTGATCTATGGATATCACTGTAAATGTTTATTTTGCCCAACGTAACTCCATCAGAAAATTTATCTGTTAAATTTTCAAGTTTGATATCGTGCTCAACTTTTGTTTCAACAACTCCAAAAAGGTTATATGAAAGTATTTCTTTGTGTAATTTCTCTCTTGAAGAATTGGTAGATGCTGAAATACCATCCTGCCAAGTTTGTAATAGTATTTCCAAAAAAAAGAAAATTAATGAAGAGTCAATTAAATATTACTAACTATCTAACAGGCGCCACTCTATTTAATTGGTTGAATTTGGAAAATAGCGAAAACCATAAAAATAAAAAATAAAATAAATTTAATTAAAAAAAGAAAAAAGATTTGGAAGCGGAGTGAGCTACGAACTCGGAACCTATGGGTTTAAAAACATATGTTAATTAACCTCAAAAACCTATCGAACCTTCTTACTCGGTTAATATTCATTTTCCCTAATCCCTCGAATAGGGCTTTACAATTCCTTATTGAACCTTAAAAAAAAAAGCAATATAATAACGCAAAAAAAAAGCACGAGTTATTAACATGGGAAAAATATAATAGTAAAAACGTTTTAACACAATGCTGTTTATGTTTATGATTTTAGCATGTTGCTCTCAGGAACAATTATGTTAACACGGTGAAAATACCATAGATTTCGAATAGATAGAAGATTTCGTCCCAAACAGCAATAATTGCAATGAAAACAACTTCTCCAATTATGAAAAATGCTCACACTACATTATAAATCTAAAAATCAAGCTCAGTAAACAGCGACCTATAATCCACCCTTCAAAAGGAAAATTTTTCAAGCCGAAAAAAAAGATTTCCCTTCATTTCCAAAAACTAACTCAAAATGCTTTCAAAAACATTCTCTGAAAACACATATTGAATAATAATGAACCTTCAATCACATAATGCTTTAATGATTTTTTTTAAATTAAACCTTTTAATATAAATTTAAAAATATTATGTCGGAAGTTAAATTAGCTGAGGACAGTATGTCGAAAATCTTTATTGTGATAGAAGGTTTATAATCTTTAATTGATTAATAGACTTATGATGAAGATGTTTATAATAAGTTAAAGTAACAGTCTAGTTTATAAACTTTTATTACTTTAATATAACTTACTGTAAACTTTAGCTTCAATAATTCTGTATCATAAAACTTTCAACACAAATACTTAGAAAAAACCAACCGTACTCTAAATTACTTATGTTTACATTGATCGCGATATGTATTACTTATACTTAATACTTAATACTCAAAACAAAAACAGCTGTATTTCTTCTATAACACAAACTAAAACATACTGACAGTTCAATAACATTATCGTATCTTTATTTAATATTGTGTTTCTCCTACATATAAATTATTATATTTTCTTTTTTTATTTCTGTTTTATTGATTATATTATAGTTGTTCATAATGACTACCAATAGTAGTAATTTAAAATTGATGTCATGGAATGCCCGAACACTTCATCGAAATGATGAATTCAAGAAATTTTTGCATCAAACTCAACGTAGTGTCAGTAACACCATGGTAGTTTTGCCCAAAATCGGTCCCCCCAAGACGGATCCGGGTCGCCTAACTGTCGCAAGACCCATACCAGGACTGGTAAAAAAAATCGATTTTTTAAATAAAAATTAAGGTCAAAATAATTACTAATACTCGACAATTTTAGTTATTATATGTTAATAATTGGTGTAACCAATATGCTTTTTCATTTAACTCCTCTAACTTTTCATTCGGGCTTAGTTAGGTTTCTCCTATCTAAAAAAACAGTTACAGTTATGTCTCTATAGTAATAAGATAATAAGTAGCTGAAAGACTCTTGCGCAAGACCAAGACCATGACCAAGACTGAGTTTGCAAGACCAAGACTCGTCTAGGTCTACCAGAATACCAGATGACCAAAAACATTAAGTACAACTATCTTTTCAACAAATTAAATGACT